ACTAAGTGTAAACATTTGTGTACTATTGATTTCATTTATCAAATTTGATGCATAAAACTTTTTAATATAAAACCAAAATTACAATTAGCTTTATCAGTGGGAGCTATCACATATTTTTCTTGTAATTCCTGGAACTTGTTTTTTAACGGGTGAAACGATAAATCTAAATGGTATTTATTTACATTTATACAAGATAATTATTATTTTTTCTTAAGTACATAAAACTTCCATTTCAAAAACCATCTAGGTGGATGATATAATATAGTCAAGTTTCAAAATGTATTCATCAATATTGTTTAATAGATTTCAGAATATTTTACTTGTTACATTTTGTGGCAATCCCGTATTTAGATCTTTTTGAGCATTTCACATAACAGATTTATTTTTTATACTTTCCAAGTTACCAGTAATAATATGTTTATGAAAAGTATCAATAAATAAACTATGTTCACACTCACAAGGTAAATTATTAACTTCATCTACTTTTTAATTTTTTTTAAAAGCTCTTATAATTCTATAATAGTGGACCGATTGGAACTTCGTATTTATAACTAACGGTAGGCTTTCAGTTTTTACAAGAAAAAATATTATTCTATGTAGATTGATGAATAATTTTAGAAATCTGAAATTACATTCAAACGAACAAAGTAATTTTTTTATTAATTAATTAATAAATTATTAACGTAAGTTATTTTTTACAAAGATTTATCCTAAAATAAGAGCATTAATTAATTAATATAATTAAAAATTTTGAAATTCGAAATGGTCATTCAAAACACTTACTTTTAGACATAATGAAATATCGATTGAAAGTTAATGATTTATCAAACTTTGAAAAAGAGAAACCGCAAATTAAGATTTCATAATTTTAAACGTAAAGTATTCTATGACTTTATTACAGGTTTGAATATTTCGTTTTGTAACGCAGTTCTTCATTTAGATTTGATTTTGCTTGACTGTTTAAGTATTAATTCTGCAAATATATTAAACATTTTAGTTAATCAGGAAAATGTTCCGAATATAAGTAAGATTCTCAGCTTCGAAATTACTTTTTAATAATGCATTTCAAACTAGTGGTTAATATGAGTATTTTTTTTTCAAGTGTAAAAAAGAAACTTCAATGGCACTCCTATTCCTACTTACTTGAGCAATGTTGACTCCGTACTGTGAAAACATGGCATCATATAACGCCATAAGCCCACTTTGTCCTACTGCAGCTGCAGCACGAACGTCTGGATGGCTGATTATAGCTCTGCTCTAATGGAGAAAAAACAAGTTAAGCAAAATTTAATTAAAACCGAAATTAGACGTTTGATTTCGGTTTCATCTAGGTAGTAGATATGGTGTCATCAATTCATGTATTTTATGGTATTACAATTCCCACCTCCACCCTAGAGTAATTCATATCAGAGCAAGCTACTCGCATAAATTATAACTAAAATTTAGCTCGGTAATAAGTATAGCTAATAAAATACTGCTTTAAGTTCTTACTTGTTAAGTTTAAAATGCCTAGTTTCACTAGTTGAAACCCTTGCTATTAGCGATATTTTCCAATTCCACTAATATGTCACAAATTTCGACTTAGGGAATGTAGGTTAATTATTAATTAAGTTAATAATCCAAAATAACGTAATAAATATTTATATACATGACATTCTAATAAATACTGTTAGAGACAGCGTTTTCAGACAATATTTCTCTAAATACTTTTAATGCCAAAAGTTTCTTTAAAATACTATTATTCTTTATTTATGCCCCCCCCCCAGTGGCATGTCTGCGTACTTACAACGCTAGAAACCGGGTTTCGATACCCGTGGTGGGAAAAGTACAAATATCCCATTGTGTAGCTTTGTGCTTAATTACAAACAAACTTTATTTGTGCATTATCCTCTTCTGTGAACATGACTTCATGCGCAGTTTTAACCAATTACAAATAGAGGAAGTTTCAAAAAAACGTTTGCAGGACATCCTAATTGGCGAATTAATATTCAGAGTTTCTAGGAACTTGTGATAAGTAATTGTGTAACATTATGTTACACGTGTAGTTAAATAAATACATATTGGTAGATTGTGTTTACAGCACTGTTATTTAGTCGAGGTTTTATTTTCATCCATCCACAGATCGAGTTACTAATGATTCTGATAGCACTGTAACTTTAGTGAGTGCCATTACGTTGAAGATATGCAATCTAAGTGCAAGTTCAACGATCTTAATAGTTTGTTGAGATCTTAGATAAATCTCCCCCCCCCCTCTCCTTTACGAATTAACTTTCTTGTTTTAAACATACGGACAGAAATGATAGTGTTGAAAGCTATTTGAAATCGAGTTGCTGAATAATTAGGAATTTAACGAGTAGTTGTGCAAAATGAATGTCTAAGAAACAATCAATATATGTTTGTTGTGCATATTCTTAGTATATTTATTAGTGTAGGAATGGGTACATGTCGAAATACCTGTTCAAGAACCATAAAGAAAAGGTGTAAACATTAAACTTGGTAAATTAAACTATTGCTGCCACAAACATTCTAAAACGTTTTGCTGTTCGAATACTTACTATTTAAAAAACTTAGGTGCCATAGGTTTTGAGTAAAAGAGAAAATATTATCCACAAACCCAATCACAGAGTTAAGGAGAAAGATTAATAATTACCTGGGTAAAGTGATCCTTTGGAGAAAGAGTCTCTCTCATTGACATTGACATACGGGCCTCGGCTCTCAGCTTTTGTTTACCAAAGGCAACCGATCCACTTGTGACTATTAGCATTTCTTTGCCTTCATTTTGAAGTTGAGACACCTGTGTAACAGACGCGTTCTATATCATCGTGCAATTTACATACCTGGATTCAACATCACGTTTTAACAATATACGAAATAACAACGGCCAAATACATAGTATTAAATCAAAAATCGAACATCAACTTTTGCTCTTCCCATTAGCTCTCCAGAGTATGTCCGCGGACTTATACCACAAGAAACCGGGTTTTGATACCCGTGTAGCTTTGTGCTTAATAACAAACTACAGCAACAACTCTCCCCATTAAAAGTAGTAGAAATATAATAATTAATCAATAGTTCCGTTGACTTTATCTGCTATTAGTCTCTCAAACTTCCTAACAGATAATCAAAAGTTTTGTTATCCTAGTCAACGATTAATGCGTGTACAAAGTTGACAAAATAATTGCTTCAGAAAATAAGATTTAACCGATTATCATAATAACTGAAAAGTAGAATAACGATAATAAGTTTACCCACTTTAACCCACCCAATGAATACTCCCCCCCCCCATAGAGTTTGTTTACAACATTACAAAGTTGTTTGGTTTATCTGGAATGTCCGTAGGCAGTATTATTTCACATTTTGCACCCGAAACACACCATTTACAGGATTTTCAAAAGTTTCTCGGAACATTCGTCAAAACAATAAAATGAATATTTTTCTTTTTTGAGCCACAATTCTTGGTGAATATACGTGAAACTGTTACCAGAGGGTGCTACATCTACTATGTACCTATCATTATTGGAATGAGATGTTAAACGAAGTTGTACAATATTCAACTTTACTACATGCTGCGAGTAGAACCAGTTTATTTTGACTTTACGAATACTTGAAGTCGGGTGTGTATCATATCTCACCTGCTAGTTTTCATCACAAATATTAACCAGCAATTATAGTATTTTGGCACTTGTGTATAAAGTTAAAATCATAAATAATATGACTCGTGAGGATGACGTTGTAACGTCGAAACATGTAGAGTCGTCAACTTCTTGAAGGCCATAGATGGGCCTAAATAAAATGTTTTTAATTGTGTACCAGTCCAACTTTTAATATTATTTATGATTTT